GCAGGGGGTCTGCTTCTCCCTCTGCCCTCTTCCCTCTCGTGCTCTCTGTCTCTCATTCTCTCTCTCTCAAATAAATAAAATCTTTAAAAAAAAAAGAATGAAACTACCCACTTCACAGGGTTCCTGTGAGAATCAAATGAGATAACAGATGTCAGGTACTACGGAGAGCATATGGAAAATGCTCTATAAGTGACATTAGTTACTTGCACATGAAAAAATAACCAGTTAATGGCATAAATAGAATGAGACTCTGTCTCCTGATCATTCTCGCTCACCTAAGGTGGTGACATCACCATTTGCACACTCATTCAAATGACAGGCCTGTCACTTCCTGCTCCTGGCACCAGGACATTCTTCCAGTTCGCCTCCTGGGATGTTCACATCCTCTTCAGAGTGTCTAAGGTTTTGTGTTGTTTTGTTTTTTGTTTTGTTTTGTTTTGTTTTTTACTTAACAGGACACCCAGCTACATCTGGATGACGCTCTCCGGGGCCAGGAGGACCTGAAGGAACAGCTGGCCATGGTGGAGCGCAGAGCCAACCTGCTGCAGGCTGAGATCGAGGAGCTGCGGGTCACTCTGGAGCAGACGGAGAGGAGCAGGAAAATCGCAGAACAGGAGCTCCTGGATGCCAGTGAGAGGGTCCAGCTCCTGCACACCCAGGTAAGACCCCCCATCAGACAAATGCTGGTGTACTGTTAAGTGATGGATGAGAATTATAGTATAGAAATACTCCATTTATATAAATATGTGTATATAAAAAAAAGGATGGGGGATATGCTCTAAAATATTAACTGCAGTTATCTTGGAAAGATGGGATTGTAGGCAATTTTTTGGTGTGTGTTCCTATACATCTTTTTTAAGATTTTCTACCCAAAAAAGGAGAGAGTTTTATTTAAAGATAAAGTTTGGCTCTTTAGGTTTTGAAAACCATGATACAGAATAAACTTGAATAAAGATGATTTGTTAACTCCAGAATCCAAAAATGTGCCACGTAGTATTTCTCATCAGGAGTCCACACATTTAGCATTGTGTTTACTGTCCGTGAGTCTTGCAGGACACTGCTGATCTGCCTGGACATTAAATGCAGTAACACCAGGTAGTCATTTTAACAAGCAAAAATACCTACCTCCAAAGGTTTCCAAATACCCGTTGAGGCAGTGTTGATTCCCTTTGAGAAGCACTGGGTTAAAATTTTAATAAAATGTTTTCTTAAAACTAATTCAGTATTCCCCCAGGGAGCAAACCATGAAAGTTAACAGAGAATAGATCCTTTCTAACTGAAAAACTCCCAATGCCAGGCACTCACAAAAAGAATCAATTATTTTCTATTATTTCCAACCTTTTAAGGATAGAATACTAGTAATGTCTAATTGAAATATAATTGAAAGAGCAATTAATTAATATAGGCATTCTCAAATCCCAAAAGTCCTTATGCATAAATTAGACACTGAGACAGTGGGGGGGGGGCTGTTCCAACCTTTCAAATGATTAATATTTTGCACTGGACAAATATTTAAACTTGAGTAAACTGTTGCCATCAGGTCCCCTGCACAAGCCAACAAGTAAGACATCTGTAAAATCCTACGTTGGCAAATAACAGGTCTTATAAATTTCCATTGACTACTTTTAACAGAACACCAGCCTGATCAACACCAAGAAGAAATTGGAAAATGATGTTTCACAACTCCAGAGTGAAGTGGAAGAAGTCATTCAAGAATCACACAATGCAGAAGAGAAGGCCAAGAAGGCCATCACTGATGTGAGCAAGCTAAGCACTGGTTTTTCTGATACACGTGTGTTGCCTGCCATTACTAGGTTTCCTTATTATCTTGGTGTATTTTCTAAATAGGCAGCCATGATGGCTGAGGAGCTGAAGAAGGAGCAGGACACCAGCGCCCACCTGGAGCGCATGAAGAAGAACATGGAGCAGACGGTGAAGGACCTGCAGCACCGTCTGGATGAGGCTGAGCAGCTGGCCCTGAAGGGTGGGAAGAAGCAGATCCAGAAACTGGAGGCCAGGGTGGGTCTCTCAATCTCTCTGAATCTGGGAAAGGGAAAAGGGCACTCCCTCTATCTTTCTCTCTCTACATATTGATGCCCATCTTTGTCCTGAGGCTGAGGACATCCACCCAATATCTTCAGCAGGTCCTGAGCTAATTAATATCCCCCAAGACTGGCTGTGTACATATCTTTCTTGGTTGTAGGTACGTGAGCTTGAAGGAGAGGTTGAAAGTGAGCAGAAACGTAATGCTGAGGCTGTTAAAGGTTTGCGGAAACATGAGAGAAGAGTAAAGGAACTCACCTACCAGGTAAAGGGAATAACTTTCTAGAAAATCCAGACTTCCTGCCCAAAGGGAAACTGACAATCTGTTAACTGTTTATGTGGTGCTCACAAACAGATCCACCTGAACTCGATATATAAATATAAGGGGCAAATGATAAAATTGTTTATCTCAGACCCTTTCCTAAGCTAGGAAAGGCATGGAAGTCTTTAGAAAATAGCATACCAGAGAAAAGGATACAGGTTTTAAAGCCAGATAAACTGGGTATTAGTCTTAATTTGGTCCCTCTTAATTTTTGAACGTGGTTACGTTACTTAACACTCTAAACCTTAGTTTCATTCCCTATAAAACAGAGTAACAGCATGTACTCTCCGGAGTAGGGAGGCAAGAATCAGAGAAGATGTGTAGAATTCCCTAACACAGCACCTGCACAGAGTGAACATTTAGCAAGAACGGCTACTGTTAATACTATGGAGAAAGGCTCAGAGTTGACCAACTTAACCCCAGGCCCACCTGCCATCATATCAAAGTGGTTTATTTTACCCCTTGTAGGAGGCTCATTTCATTGTACTGAATGCAGACTATTTTTTCAAACCCCCAGACAGAGGAAGACCGCAAGAATGTTCTCAGGTTGCAGGAATTGGTAGATAAATTACAGGCGAAGGTGAAATCATACAAGAGACAAGCTGAGGAGGCTGTGAGTATCTTTAAGCCCTTGAGGGAGGAAGAAAACTTCTTTTGGGATAGAAAGTATATTAAGACAATGTGTCAACGAGAAAAAAAGCACAGTAAGAATATGCCACTCATATTTTTTAATTGTTTTGTTTTTTAATTTAAATTCAATTAATATACCACTCATATTTTAAGAGAGATATTATAAACATGAATTTACCTCCAAATCCTGATTACAGAATAAGACTTTAAGAGGAGATGTTTTTATTATTAAGCATTTTGTAAGGGTTGGGGGAAAAAAACAGTAACCTACCTTGATAGCTGCAAAGACTATACTATCACAACTGTAGTCCATGATAAATACTCCTCTCCCTCTAGAAATGCACAAAATCAAGTGTTCTCAAGAGCCAAACATAAATCTTTTACCCCAGCTGACTCCTTCATATACTAACAGTATCATCAGGGGCTCACCTCTCCACATGTACTGTGGCAAATAAGGACATGCTGGAAGATTCTCCAGCCTCTCTTTTCCTGATTGTTCCCCATTCTTCCAGACACAATGTGGTAGGTCGGAAGTAGACAGTAAGTTAGGAGAGGGAAGAAGGAAGGGAAAGGCTCAAATGGTAATAAGTAAAACCAACAGATGCATGCTTCTTCTCAGACCCACTTTTTCCCTTTCTCTGTATACCAGAGTCAAAATATATGACAAAACTTGTTAAGTGAGGTTGTCTCAAAGTTGAAATTTGACCTTGTATTTACTTACTAAACTCTGTCAGGGTACATGGCTCTCTTCCTTCTTTCTACCCAGTCCATGCATCACAAATAGATTTCATGTACACATGAGTTTGACACACTAAGGTTGTCCTTCCACTCTAAAAGTGTTTCTTTTTTCATTCATTAGAGTGAAAAAAAAAATACACAACTGAAGTCACAAGTTCTGTCCAGATTTAAAGTCAGACATGGCAAACACCATAAGAAGGACATATCTGAGTTGAGGAAATAATCCTGTTTGGTGACAAGCGCAGTGAGAACCACAAAGTCTAATTCTCACAATTTTATCTTTCCTCTTAGGAGGAACAATCCAACACTAACCTTGCTAAATTCCGCAAGCTCCAGCACGAGCTAGAGGAGGCTGAGGAACGGGCTGACATTGCCGAGTCCCAGGTCAACAAGCTGCGGGCGAAGAGCCGGGAGGTTCACACGAAAGTCAGTGCAGAGTGAACACATCTGCCTGATGCTGCCAAGGGGCTGAAGAAATGCACAAAATGTGCTATTCTGGGCCACTTATGAGGTTTATTTTTCTCTTAATGTTGAGTAAATAAAAACTCTAGTAAACTTATAAATTAAACCAAACTCATTTTTTCATTTGCAAACTTATTTACTCTTAAATACAGTTCTCACCTATTTTTTAATACTATATATGGCTTTGCAAAGCATTCGATATTTTGTACTTCCATTACCATGCAGCATCACCTTTCCCACCCCTACCACACACACACACACACAAGTACCTTTCGCTGGACTTGATTCTATTAAATCTCTCCAGGTCGTTACAAATACTAAGGAAAACACTCCCTAAGGCTACTTCTCCAGACAGGATCCATTCATTGATCCACTCCACAAGTAGTTATTGAGCATCTACTCTGTGCCAGGCACTGTTCTATGCTCTGTGGGTACAGCAGTGAGCAAAAAGAGTTCCTGCCCTCTGGGAACTTACATTCTACAAGGGCAGAAAGGCAACCAACAAATAAGAAGGCATGTAACATGTCAGATGATAAGTGCTAGTGGGAAATAAAGAAGCAGGGTCGGGCTCCCTGCTCAGAGGGGAGCCTGCTTCTCCCTCTCCCTCTGCCCCACTCACGCACACGCAGACACACTATCTCTCAAATAAATAAAATCTTTAAAAAAAAAAAAAAAAAAGACATTTGAGCAGAGACCTGTAGGAACCAAGAGAGTAAGCCAAATGAGTATGTGAGGTCAGAAATACTTCCAGGCAGAGGGAAAAACAGAAAATGCACAGGCCCTGGGGCAGGGGCAGGGGCAGGTTGGCATGTCTCAGGGGCTGGAGGAGAATGAGCAGGACAAAGAGTTATAAGAGAGGAACCAGGGGCCAGATCATGTAAGGTCTGAGGGTCTTTTCCACAGACTTGTGTCTTTAGAGTGAGATGTCAAAGCTTTGGAGGGTTTAAAGTAGAGAAGAAATATTAACACACATTTTTTAAAAATTACTCTGGCTGCCGTGTTGAGAAGCAGACTAAAGGGGGAAAGGTGGAAACTGGGAGACTAGTTAGGAGCCTACAGTAAAATAAAAGGTAACAAATGACAGTGGCTCAGACTGGAGAAACAGCCCCGGGAAATGATGAGAGTACAGGACGCTAGGTGAATTATGAAGGTAGCACACAAGGACTTTCTGACCAACTGAATGAGGAGGTCAAGAGAGGGAGAGGGGGAAAAAAAAGCTTAAGAGGGACAAAGGATAAGCCAAGAAAGAAGTGGTGGAGTGCAAACATTAGGAGTTTGGTCTCCAGAAAGAGGGGAGTCAGTAGAGCAAAAATGGTGACCTAGGCGAAGATCGTATTTTATGGGCTCCTATCCCTCTTCCAGCATCTACTCCCCCCTAGCTCCCAACCCTGTCAGCTTCAGTCTTTTACAGTATAAACTGTACAGCCCACAATCTCAAATATGTCTAAGATTACTAACAAAAGTTTAGTAAAATGAAAGAAATTTCAAAATAAATAAAATAAATTTTCTTAAGGAAAATTTTCGATCAAAGAGAAAACCAAAACTACAGTCACAAAAACTTCTAGAAGTAAACATGAGAGTAAATCTTTGTGACCCTGGTTTTGGCAAAGATTTCTTAGCTACAACCAAAAGTACAAGCCAGGAAAGAAAAATTGATAAATTGGACTTTATCAAAATATAGTTTCTGCTCTTTGAAAACACTGCTAAAGAGGATGAAAAGACAAGCCACAGACTGAAAGTATTTGCAAATTACATCCCTGATAAAGGACTAGTATCCAGAAGATTTGAAAAAGTCTAAAAACTCAATAAAAAGAAAATAGATCACCCAATTTCTAAAGAGGCAAAAGATTTAAATAAACATTTTACCATCTATTACCCGACAGAATGGACAGGCAAGAAACAACAAGTGTTGGCGAGGATGTGGAAAAAAGGGAGCCCTCGTGCACTGTTGGAGGGAATACAAACTGGTGCAGCCACCATGGAAAACAGTACGGAGGTTCCTCAAAATTTTTTAAAAAGAACTACCCTATGATCCAGCAATTCCACTTCTAGCTATTTACCTGAAAAAAAACTGAAAACACTAAGTTGAAAAGATACACGCACACACACCCCCCACCCCGTGTTCACTGCACCATTATTTATAGTAGCCAAACTGTAATATGCAGTCTTACATGCTGTGACATCCCTTATGTTGAATTTTTGCAATGCAGTCATAAAGGATGTCCTTTTTTGCAAAAATGTATGATGGCTTCATCAGTATTTTTAAGGGACTTCCTAATCCTTTGATATTGAACTCATTCTTGTGAAACACTTACTGGATCATCGTCATTTTCAGTTCTTCAGTTGTCCGCTTGAGACCCTCTCCCTCTGCCCCTCCCTTCCCTTCTTTCCCCCTTCCTCCCTTCCCCTCTCTCTCCCTCCCTTCCTTCCCCCCTCAAGTAAATAAATCCTTTAAAAAAAAATCATGATGTGGAAGAAGAGTTAATACCGCAAGAAACTTTTCATCATCTCTTAAATTTTAAAGGCAGGCCACAAAATCCTGTCTGTTGGCTGATATCCCAGTTGCGTGCGTGTTTAAAAACTTGTTTTAAAAAATTGTGTATCTGTCTACAAACATGGGGGGGGAATGCAAAAGAATTTAGTCCAAAATTTAGATAAACGCTACACTAAAATTTTAGGAGTGATTTAAAATTCTCCTTTGAGGTTTGATTCTATTTTGCAGTCTTTCTATAATGTAAACACTAGTCGTGGAGAATTTTTTGAAGTTTATTTAAGCAATCTCTATACCCAAGGTGAGGCTCGAATTCACGACCCTGAGGTTCAGGAGCCCCACGCTGCACTGACTGAGCCCGTGAGGAGCCCCGGGTTTGGAATTTTTTTAAAGGCTCTTTTTTTTTTTTTTTTAAATAAAGAAATAAAAGCAACCTGCTCCTTGGGGAGATTTCACATCCACTTCTCATCAAAGACGTGGATATAACTGACTACAGAAACGTGAAGAGGGAGAGGGTCATCTGATGGATGAGCCCATTAGCACAGCTGCTAAAAGCCTCCGCCCTTCATCCAAGCTTTTGGGGGGGATTAACAGTCCAGGGCTAGCACCGCAGCTGTCACGGAGCAAACCTAAATTCTGCCTCCTGGCCGTGGCAGGCGCTGGGGCCCATGATACCAGTGTCCCCGGCCACCTTCACGGCGGCCTTCCCGGGTCACATGTTCCTGAGCGGGAAGCCCAAGAATCAGCCGAGGGCAGATGGAAAGAACCTCACTTAAGGATGGACTTTACCAGCCTGATTCCTCCCTCCTGGCTCCCAGGGCCGCCACCAAGATGCTGCTTCCGGAGCCCACAAGGAAAAACAATGCCCCCCCGGTGGTGGAGGTTAGAAAAGCAGCCGCCTTTGGGGAAAGAACCCAGAAAAGGGCTTCACGGGAGGGCGGACTGTGCTCTCAGCCCCTCACAGAAACGAGGGTTCAAGGCTCTCTCTCCGGGGAGACGGAGGTCCTAGTTTCAAAGGGTCAAAGGCCAAGGGCTCAAACTAGGAGACACAGTGTGAGCAGCGGGGATGAGAAGGGTGGCGCCTTCCGAGCGACCGAATCCTACCCTTTCTCAGGACTCGGAAAAACAATGCCGTTGCCACCCACAGAGCAGAACCCAAACTGGATCTGGCACGACACGGTACAGAGCTACGTTCAGTTTAACCACACGCCAATGTGGAATTTGGAGGCTCAAGAATTTTCCAGAAATATTCCTCTGGCCCCGCCTTCAAATTCGCTCCCCAGTCCCAGTTTCGTCCCCTCCCCGCCGCACTGCCTCAGGGGGTTAGTCTCTGTCACCTCGAGCACAAACAGGTCGTGCGGACGCGGAGGCACAAACCCCTCCCGCCTCACAAAGCCGGCCACGCGCACACTCACCGGCCACGTCCCGCCGTCGCCTCCCGCCGGGTCCCAACCATGGCGGCGGGTCACTTCCGGCCTTTCCTTCCCGCCACCTGGCTCCTCCCATGATGCTCTGGGGTGCACCGGAAGTGACCCCTCCCCTCTCCGGGAATTGAATTCTTTGCAGTAGAGCAGTGTGTCCCCCAAAGCCCGGGGCAAGCGTGTTTTCCCACGTTTTCAGAGCCGTGACCCATGCACCACCGCCCTCCAGCCCCCAACTAGATTATAAACTGAGAACCAGCTTTTTGTCCCCATTGCGTACCACAGTGTCTTCATGAGCCGTTTGTTGGGTGGAGAGCAGACACCAGATTCTTTCTGTTCGGCAGAATGAAGCAGAGACGCTAATAGGGCCAACACTCAGAGCACAGTAAAGAAGAATAAAGCTGCCATTATAATAACAACTGACGTTTAAAACCCGAAGTCCTTACCCGAGCTTGCAGGGCTCTAAACCATCTGGCCCGTGGGCACCTCTGCCGCTTCATTCCCTGCTACCGTTTCCCTGGCTTCCTTTGCCCCTGCCCTACTGGCCTTTTTTCCCTTCCTGTGCAGGCACACTCACCTCCCAGAGCCTTTACTTCTGTTTTCTCTGCCTGGAATAGAGTCCCCCTTTGATGTTCTCATGGTTTGCTCCTTCACTTCCATAGGTGTCCGCTCGGATATCACCCCTTCAGAGAAACTTTCCCGGATCAGTCTGTTTAGACACCGCACGACCACTATATCCTTACCCTGCTTTTCTTCTCCTTAGGAGCATTTATCATTAATTGACGTCAGATAGGTCCCCAGACAACAATGCATACACGCTCGAATAGAACCTCCGTGAAGGCAGAGACTTTGCCTATTTTGTTCCCCAGCACTTAAAATCAGCATATAGTAGAGGCTCAATGAATGTTTGATGAATAAACGATTGAACGAGTGCATGCTCACTATTTTGCTAGTTCTGTGCATTACAGCCTCAAAATTAACAGTCCCAGGTATGAATTTTGTCACCATCCTGGCTTGGTGGGAGATCTTCAAGCTGGTTCCATGTAGCCCCACCTTAGCCAGGTTTGAGGGCTTTGCCATCATACCCCCAACAACCTTTCAGATGGGGTGATGAACTTATCTGGGTTGACCCA